AAAAAAAATGAAAAAATGAAAAACAAAACAAAACAAGCAAAAGTAGAAAAAAAAGAGGAAAAAAAAAGAAAAAAAAAAGAAAAAAAAAGAAAAAAAGGAAAATTTAAATTGAAAACCCAAAAGGGTGATTTCAGTAGAGGTGAAAGCAGCAAGAAATTGACTTCATATATAAAGAAAACATAACATTAGGAGTAATGATGAAAACTTTGATGCAATCGACATGCAAAATAAACCATATCTCTTGCACCCCTATACAGAAAAGAAATCAATAAATGAGAAAAAGGACAAGGTTTTACATTTCTACATGTAAACTCCATGCAAAAACAAAAGAAAGATAGGAAAACAAAAACTCTAAGTATTTATAACAGCCATATATGAACAATAAAATAGCATATATGCTCAAAGAGGCTCCAAATTTCCAAACCTGTTTTTGCTAATGTCTTCTCTCATTTTTCTTCCTTTTTTTCCTTTTTCACAGTCTATTATTTTTTTTGTTATATTCTTTTGCCTTTTCTTTCACGTTTTCTGCTTCATTCTTCTTAGTGACCACCTAATTTTGCACATTTCTTCTTCCACTGCGTGCCTAGTGTTTTTGGTTCCACTTGTTTTTCTTTTCTTCTCCTCTTTCTTTATTCTATTCAGCATTTTTTGTTCTAGTTTTCTTTCAACTCTAGCTACTGGCACCTCTTTCTTTAGTTGTTTTACTCTTTTTCATTAGTAATTGTTTATGGCGCTTCTGGTGTGTGTACTTCTGATACATGCTTTTTGGTTCTTTCTTCTCCTCTTTCTTGATTCTTCATGCCCAATTTTTCTTTTGGTTGCTGCTGTGCTTCTTTCCTTCTCCTTTGATTTTTTGTTTTTTGCTTTTCTGCTGTTCCCAGTTTCTGTTTTCAAATTTATGCTTCCCTTTCCTTTTGTTTTGTTTTCTTAGGTATCTTTATTAAAAACTGGACTGGTTATTACCTCTATTTTTCCCCGTTTCCTACTTTCTCCTCCTTTTCCCCTCTTTCCTATTGCAGCTTTCTTTTTTCACTTTTTTATGTTTGGCTTTTCCTTTCTTTCAGCCTTCTCCAACTCTTTTTTTTTTACATGTTTTTGCTTCATTTCAACCAGCCTTTCAACCTTCTCTTCTTTTTTTTTTTTAGCTCCTAAAATTACTCTTTTTTTTTTCTTACTCCACTAGAAGCCTTCCTTTTTTTTTCCAGAGAATCTTTCCCCCCCTCTTTTTTGGCAATCGACAGACCTTTTCCTTACAAAACTTCTCACCCTTTTTTCTTTTTTGTTCGATTTTTTTTGTTTTTTAGCAGCCTCTTTCTTCTTTTTTTTTTTTATGTGTTTTGCTATTCTTTCCCCCAATCCTCCTTCTTGATTTTTCATACCCAGTTTATTTTTTTTTTTTTGGTAAATCCCCTAAAAGAAAAAGATCTCATTCTTGGTGAATATGGACCCTTGGATGAGATTTCATCCAATGGTCAAAGTTTGTTTTTTTATTCCTTTCAAGAAACCTCCTTTGGCCGTTGGATCAATATTAATAAAAGATCTAATAGTTCATATTATTCACTGCAAATGTTAGATTTTTATGCCCTTTAAACATATAAAAAGACCATTTTATACCTAGTGCAAAATTTTTTATATTTAAGCTATTTTTTTAGAAATCAATGTTCTTATGCTTATTTTTGAGATTTTACAACACCAAAATATATTGAAATATTATAAAATTGAGATATGAAAAGTTTCATGAAAATTCAAGCTTTTAAAAGTCAAATTACAAAAATATCCTTATAAGGATATTTTATAATTTCACACTTTTCGAGGTATTGCTATGATTTCAAATGCATAAAAAATCATAAAATATTATGAAATTAAGATCTAAAAAGTTTCATGAAAATATGAGTTTGACAAGGTCAAATTACGAAAACATCCTTTATAGGGATATTTTGGTATGTACTTTTTCCATTGCAATAAAAATTTTTAATGTTTTAAAAAATCTTCAAATTTAATTTTAAACCACATTTATTTCAATTAGACCATGAATTTTGAGAATTAACCTGGGCTTTATCTATTTTAACTAAGTTTTATGTAATTTTGACTTATATTGATTGAATTTAACCCGAGTTAACTTTGATTTTCTAAATAGGCTAATTTGTGGGCTTTTTTATGGTTTGTAAATGATCTTACTAAATAGTTTCGGCCCATGTTCACAAATAAACCCTGGGTCAATTATGTTGAAAAATGTTCCAAATAAAATTTGATGTTTATAATTTCTTTTTCAATCATATAAGAATTTAAAACTCTATAACCAAGTATGAAAAGACTAAAAAATTTTTAATAAATAGGTTTTGGTTTTAAGCCATCTCCACGTGGAGAAAACCAAACCCAACTAAACTTGTATATATAATTTGGGGATAATGGATTGGTTTGCATTTTGTAGAGTCTCACCATAACATTGTTTAGTTACATGGGAAAGCTGAGGGTTGCTGTGGGAACAGAGAAAGACTACATAGATCCTCAAAAGTTGAAGTAATGTATCGAGAATGCTTTTGGGATGATGATCAAGGCTGCCCATCAAATTGCTTAACTATACATATAAAATGTGCCATCATGATCGTCTTGGAAAAGGGTATACAAAATCTGTGAGGGGGAACTGAATTTCATTTGACAAATTAACTTCTTTTTTTGTCCGTAAAACTTATGTTATTCTTCTTCTTGGATCGCCATTTATCAATTCAGAAACAGAATTCAAACGAATAAAATTAATGCATCATGATCCATATAGTTGCTGAGTTTTAATTAGTTTTTATGCTTAATTATTTACTTCTTTTTTTTTTAATTTTCCTTACTTCATACAATGAATTTTGCTAGGATTTTACAGGTACATATTAATTGCACAACTAGTCCCTTGATTCTCGAATCCTAGAGTAGAAAGACTGACTTACTTGTCCAGATTCAATTTGACTTGAATTGGAGCATAATTTTTTAAATTCAAATTCAATCCGATTAAATTATTTTATAATTACAAATTATATTCAAAATAATAAAACATTTTATTATTCTAATAATAGAATAATAGTTAAATCTGCAGATTGGATATAGCTTGAACTTAAAAAAAAAAAAAAAAAAAAAACTCAAAAAACCCAATCCAGTCAAGCTAGACTCATAAATACCTCTTCTACTTAAGAGCCATTGTTGCAACAATAATTAACAGAGGTAGGCGAGGACATTATTATCTACATTCATTGACATCACTTAATAGTCCGTGCAAAACATTCGTTAATAATATTAATGCCTCAATGCTCAAGCAATAACTATGAAGTGATTCTTTTTTTATTTGCATTTGGTTGTTTTGGTGAAAATGTATTGTCGTTTTTAAAATCTTTAACTATCATAAATGATATATCAAGAACCAAAATTTTTTTCTTAACAATTTTAAAGACGTTCTTTCTTGCAACGCAAGATGTCAGGTGAAGACATACCAAGACACTTGATCCAGTTGAAGGCGTCCAAATCCATGAAAAATGAGTTTTTTCTTTTCTTGCATTAAGATAAAATAAAATTTTTATATTCGGATAAAAGTATTTTTAATCTTATTTCTCTAGATAAAGTATTTCATGATTTATTCAACTGATATAATATTTGATTATGAATATAATTTCAAAAAAAAATATTTCTTAACACTTCATTTTGATTTTTTTTTTTTATCTCTTTACTGTCCCTGTTTTTTCTGGTCTCTCTCTACACCAAAAATGAAAACTCACACAAAAAAATTAAAAATTTTTTCCTTTTGAACAATATGAATTCACTGCTCGAGAATAAACTCATTTTCTACTTAGAAAACCTACTGAAAGTTCCTAACCCCATTGTTTATATATCTTTTACAAGGTCATCTTCGAATCGCAAGAAGCTCAGCAATTTTTTTAAAATTTTTTTTCTTTTTGCGTTGCAGAAGTAGAGCAAAATAATAATAATAATAAAGAATATTAGAGACGCCTTTTATATATTAATTTAAATCCGAACCCAAGATTCTCGAGATATCAATTATTTTTTTCAGGTGGCTTGTTTAGAGATGGAAAGAATGGGTGGAATGAAATTCAGTATTTTTTTTTTTTAATCCTGTCTTTCATCTTTCCTGCTAATACATCAGTAAACAACTTCTTTCTTTTCTCTCGGTCTTCTATCTATACTAAATTGTTGCCTTGTCACGTTTTCATCTTTCCTTGGGAGACAATGTCAAAGCTATCATACAAAAAATTACTGATAGAAGATAGACTTTCTGAGAGTTAAGTTTTTTTCCTTTAATATTATCAAGTGAAGAAGAATTAAGAGATCAGATGCCAGAGTGACCATTTTGCCGTTCAAGTTTCAGCTAAACCTTGCAATCTATCCTAAATTGTGCATAATTGTTGGCAAACTTATGAGGCATAATTCAATCTTTAAGCTCAAACATAAGAATTTAAGGAGTTGGTAACAGAACATGAAACTCTTTTCCAGGGGATGGTTCCATCAGCTCTTGTCTTCTAGATACATAAACTCCACTCTCTTGTGCTGATACATAACAATTCAATTCTATTGTCTTCAAGATTTCTATTGAGAACTAAAACTGAATTAGGAAGGCAGGGTTCAGGTGGAAGAACTATAATATCAAATGCATAAGAGAGTGATTTAATTTTTGTTTGACAAAAGTGCTTTGTGCAGAGCAGTAGTAACATTGTGACAATTTCAGTACTCTCCCAAGATTTTAATTTTTACGTGATTAAGAATAAGAAAAATTACTAATGAGATATTGTTTAAATGACAAAAAAAAAGAAAAAAAAGAAATCTTTAAACTGTAAGATTATAGGATCAAGTGTAACAGTATATTTGTGGTTTTATGTTACCTTTTTTTCATGAATATTGTTTTGTTTGCATACTTTTTTATTGTCCCAAGTTTAACATTTCTTTTGAAAAGCCAAAGAAAGGTCATTTTTATATTTATTAATTACCTTCAACTCTATAATTATTCACTTACTTGTTTTTCAGGGTAAGACTTTTTTTTTTTTATTTAATTCTTATACAATATGTGATAATTGATTCTGATATCATAAGAAAATATATGTTAAAACAGAACTGTTAATCTCATATATATTAGAGTAATTAAGCTACAACCTTCAAAATGTTAAACAAATGGAATGAATTAGAGGATGCAATATGAGAAAAAGTGATATTGCAAGAGTTGTAATTCTTTTACCACGCATGCAGCATGAACCATGAACGGCTTGAGTGATCTCCCTGAATGTACTTTTGGATCTAGCTTTCATTTCTTCTTAATTTTTTACCTTCTTTATTTATGCTACTGTATCATCTGATCCATATATGGGCATGCATGGCATCTTCTATGCAACATTCTGCAATTACGATATCTTCGTATCTATAGAGACTGATCAGTTTCAAGAGAAATCAATGTCAAAATCTATTTTCTTCTCATTCAAAACATTGTATTAAGCACATCGCAGTAAGATCTAAATTGCAAAATCCTGCTTAGATCAAATTTAGGAATTTTTCTAATCAAAAGAAACTTAAGATTAATTATTATATTCCAACCATTTCACAAAACTTGTTATTAAAATTATCTTTTTTTTTCTTTTTTGAAATTTAAAAATTTTGAAACTTGTAACAATTAGACACATTAACCTTAATTGTTCATATACCAAAAAAATGAAATTAAAAAAGATAAAAGATAAAAACTTCTACAATCTTTGCTCTTACTCTCTAGAAACACTTCGAAAAGTTTGAAGTCCACTTAATTAATTAGTTATGAGCTCCATTAATGGACAAATGGCTGACAAAGTGATGAAGGAAACAAAGGGAATATCATTGCATCCGTTGTAAGGTTCATGATTTATATTACCCTGAGACAGGAAGAAAATTTTGATGCACCAGAAGGCAGCCTAGCTAGCTAGCTGTACAGTTGTCGAAATTCACTGCTACAGCTCTTGAAGTTTGCTCTCTTATTTTAATTAAGGTTGTGGTTTTATAGATTGCCTAATTGTGCATGATCGAGAAAGGGTATGTCAAGTCATGCACGTGAATTACATGATTGGGAAATCCCACTCTTCAGGATGGATTTCGTAGTCCCATAACTCTTTTGGCAATTCTTCTTCGTTGCTGGATCCATGCACAAACTTGTTCAGTTTCTCCTTTAATATTTTTGCTGCACCAAAGGCTCCAATCTGGGACCAAAGAAATTGAAAGTTCTATTAATTAGATTGCACAGCTTCTAATTTCCTCTTCGGGTGAACAAGAAGAAGAAACATCGATATCGAAATTGGAGAGAAGTGGTGGTTAATTACCTCAGCATGAACAATGTGGAAAACTGTATTCCCCACGACCGAGAAAGTGGCGTTGAGTACTTCTGCCTCTTGTTCATTAAGTATGCGAATCATCTCATAAAACATGAACTGACTGTCTTGCCCAGTAGTCAAAACCACCTCCATAGCAGAACCCTTTTCGTTAATCCTAATTTCAGGAGATTTCAAGTTCACCGTGGTTTCAGCTGCAGTACTATCGGTGCATCTATAAGATCTCTTTCTTCCCATTAGGCTTTCCTTCTTCTCCCTGGATTCCTTCAACCTTGTTTGCACGCTCTTTATGTAGTTCACGGCTTCATCTATTTGATCAGGTAGTGACAATGGCTCCTGCAGTCAGTATCCACGTTGAAATGAAAACTCAAGATCAATAATTCTGACAAAATTCAGATCTCCGGCATTAATCTTATAAAGACAGAAAAAACAAACCTTGGAATTGTGATGGGGGAGCAGAGAATTGAGCCTGGAGTACAAAATCTTCATATGAATTCTCCTGTTCTTCTCAATGATCTTCCTCTCAACCTTAGCTGAAGAACAACGAGACCTCTCCATTCCCTTATTCACACCCAAATTAAGAACCAAGCATTCCATTTGAAGTTCCATTGGAGTAGATGACTAAGCTGTCTAACGTTGGTTTATATACACACACAAACAACGGTGGCTAAACAAAAGATATGGCAAAAAAAGTGCCAAACGCCGAAACTTCGATGAGCGAGTAAAAAGGGGATTACGGTGGATGATGGAAGGGAAAGGTATCAAAAATGAGAACACGTAGGCGTCGTCACTTTAGTTACATCAGCATCAGCACTGGGGTAGGCCCATCCCAGCCCAGCCGACAATTTGGAATTATTGCTCTTTAAAATAGTACTTACACGTGCCTATCTCGTTACTTTTGCCTGCCTTCCGTTTCAGGAAGCCGCTTATTTCTTTATTTGATCTTAACTTCTAAGTCTTCGCTTTTGCCACATCCATCCCCTTTCTTGTGCGTGAACTTTTAATTTTTGAAACTTCGCAAAAAGGCCAAACCTTTTTTTTATATCTTTTTTATTTTTATTAAGTTTTCATTTTATGAGGTTTTTTTATATTAGAACTCAAGCTAACAAAATTGCTTTGACTCCAAAAATAAACTTAAAATGATTAGAATATAATAAGTTTAATTCAAAATTATTTAAATTTAAACAATTTGAAAGGTTAATCTAAAATAATTTAAAACTCAATTGGTTGATTTTAAAACAATAATTTATATTCAAAATTATACAAATACGATGATTCAAATTTAAAAATTTAAATTTGAAATAATTTAAATTTTTTGACACAAAATAATCCCATCCAAATCATCCAATCCAAACTTGACTTGAATAATCTAATTGTTACTTCGAGATATATACTAAATTATAGTTTAAGTTAATTTTATAATTTCACAAAAATGAGTGATGGATTGAAAAAATAGTGAGAGAAAGTTAATGTGTGTGAATTGCTAATGTAGAGAATTATGTTATAAATGATTTGAAGATGCATGTATATAATCAATGATTAATTTTTTTCAGCTTGTCACGTTAGGAAAATAGTTGGAAAAAATGGGAAATTTTTTTGGGTAAAAGAAATATGGGTAAATTGGGGCTACCATGTTTTGGCCTGCAAAAAAAAAAAAAAAAAACTGAATAGACGTTGCTAATGAAGCAAAATTTATCCCTGTTGGCTTTGACCTAATGTTGACATTGTATCAAGGTTAGCTTGTAATCGATGGAGCCTGCCCAATGCAAAATAGTATAAAGGATCAACTTGGCTCTTAATTGGAAATTCAAAACTTAACTCGATGAATTTTATTTTTTTAATTTGTATTCAACTGAAAAAAAAAAAAAAAGTTTAACAATTTAAGTTTGCTCAGTTAAATTGGTGATAAAATAAAAAAAAAATTTCAATTAAACTTAAACTTAATTATTTATATTTGAGTTTGAATTGATATGCTCTTTTAAATACAAATATTTCATAATAAATGAGCAACGGACTTTGATTCAATCGCTCAAGTTTTTTTTTTTTTTTTGTTTTTGGGATGGTTGATTTTGTAATATTAGTGTTACAGAGCAGTATGTTTATTTATTCAGGGCTTAATAACCAGAGAATCCAGGAGCAGGAGGACCACCAGAATCGTTTTCCTTGCTCAACTGGGGCCCCGGAAGCAGGGATACGTGTCAACGGGACTTGAAGACCAAGATCTTTGCTACTTTTACCGTAGAGGTTTGACCTTGGAAAACACTGTATGAATTACGGCTCCACCAATTAATACACTACGGAGTTGGCCCTGACTCTCCTTCCATTCAGTGTTGACTTTCAACTTCCAAGTTCTAAGGTTTCATAGTAGTGCTTTCTTCAGTCATAGTATGAACAGAAAAAACACAAAGTCGGGCTGGCAAGCTCCTTGGAAGTTCGTAGGCAATTCCATTGAACCAGCAGGTTTCCGACTTTATCTTTTCTCTCTCTCTCTCTCTCTCTCTCTCTCTCTCTCTCTCTCTCTTATTTTAATGCTGTTAATGACTTTTTCATCATTTCTTGGAAATGGGCATGGGAATTGGGAACGTTTTTTTTTTTTTTTTTTTATGTCAATTGTTATGATGGATGCGGAGACTTGTAATATTGAAAGCTTAAGTCAAGACTAATTAAATACAAATTTATTAGATTATATAAGATAACCCTAAAATATGATCCTTTAAGCAGTCATTAAATAATATCATACTCACTTGCAATCTTAACTGAAAACCCAAATTAACCAAAAAAAAAAAAAGACAACATGGCGCAGTGCTTTTTCCATCTATTGGTGTTTTTTTAGGAACATTTCACTTTTAATTATCTATTTTATAATTTTATAATTAATTAACTACAACAAATGATTATGTAAACATTTACTACTTAAAACTATGAACTTCATATAATGTTTTGATATACCTTATATAATGTTAAATTATAATTAATTAATTATATTATAATAATTATAAATTATATACTTTCAGCTTTTTTATACTATATTATTCTTCTTATATGTTATTAATCCAACGATAAAATGTTATGTTCTATTCATATACATCATGCATATCAAAATTTAAATTAATTAAAAATATATATTTATTTTTGATAATTTAAAATTTTTAATCTATTCTATAAAATAAAATATTAAGGTATTTTACATCGATATAATATAGATATCAAATTAACTTGAGATATATGTGCATGATAAATCATGAAGCTATTGTTAAATCTAAATATTGATTTCTTAAAGTATTATTAGTACAAAAAGCTATAAAAGAATGTAAAAATAATAAGTTTTATATTTATGTAACTTGATCTCTCATACAATACATATATAAGGGATAAACTTATATTAGTATAAAACTTTTTAATTTTACATAATTTTTTAATTATTAATTTAAATAAATTCAAGAAAAGATAGAAACAAATAAAAAAATGATTTAATCTCATTTATTAAATTCTCATCCCTTGAATTTATTGAAATTAATAACTAAAAAAGTATAAAACCAAAAATTTTACACTGATATATATATATATATATATATATATATATATATATTGAAATGGAATTTTTTTTAATGGGGACTAACAAATCACATTTTAAGATCATACTAATACACGCATATTAACTTCCTAAGTTTTGGTTGATGATTTAATAATGAGATTTAATGAAATAATGACATTATCCAATGTAAAATTAGTGCAAACATTATTATTATTATTATTATTATTATTATTATTATTATTATTATTTTGTAATTGTCTACTATGTCCATTTCTTTATTATGTTTCAAATTTATTTACTCAAATGTTTTATTTTTGCATTAGGATTAAGGTCAAATGTGTTTTATACTTTAATTTTGTTAAACTCTTTCATGTAATTTTGTTCATTTTTTAAATTAACTTTTACATATCACCGAAAGATTTAATCGTACACTTGAAAGATAATCTAAAATGTTAAGAGAATATTTAAATAATTAATTTATACAAATTCTTCTTAATTTAGATCATATGTCAAAATAGTACTGCCATAAATTAATAAAATAATATTTCCACTTATTCATAAAATTGGAAAACCACAAAATGAACCAAAAGGTCTTTAAAAAGCCGCAGGTTATCAATTATAAAAGACTTATTCAAAATACTCTGTTTTTCATAGAAATAAAATATATTCAAAGAAGACTCAAAAAGACATTGATCGTAAATAAGAAGGCTAGTTTTAGAGAAAAAGTAAAATAAATTCTTATTCACGTACATGAGACTTAAAATTAACCATTTGTATTTATATATAATTCCTTGAAATATTTCAGTATATTATTTTTATATAAAAAATCAATAAAATTAAAAATACAGTGACAAATTTGCTATTTGAATTAATAAAATATTTTGGAAAATATTCCAAATCTATTACTTTTTGTTCAAAATTAATGAAATAAAAAGTACAGTAAAAATTCAACTTAAATTAAAATATAATAACAAAATTAAATATTTAGCTATATATATATAAATAAAAGATGTCTCAATTTTTATTCACAATTTGAGTCATATTTTTTTTCGTATTATTTTTAAAATATATATTATTGATTAAATTTTTATCGATAATAATGAAAGTAGATACTAGTAGATCCATTTTGGTGCACCCTAATGTTGTTTTAAACCATTATAGGTTTTGTGTTGGTAAAGAAACAATTAGCAAAGTAGTCAAAAGTTTTTTCTATTAAAAGTGAGTGGTGCTATTCCACCATACCATACCCTTCAGTCCGTGTGGAAGAACCTTTTCATAGCTTCAATGAAATTTCTTGTAGTCAGTCAATAGTACAATCAAATATATACAGAAATTCTAAAGATAGGAGTTTATTTCTTCAATATTGCTTCAAGTCTCTCTTTGATTTCACACACATTTGGAAAAGGAGATTATATGGAATTGGATAAAGTATGCACTGTTTGGAGTCAATCGTCACTTTAGAAAAGTAGACACTACGTAAACCACCCAAAACACTCACCGTTCAATGGTTTTGGTTTTTGCTTTATACTAGAATATGTGATGCCCACTTTACGTGGGGTTTTTAAAAAAAAAATTATTTATAAAAATACTTTTAAATTAAATAATAAGATAGAAAAATAACAATAAATTTTATTCAGAAAATGGATGGTAATAATAGTATAATAAAAATAATTATTTTAAAACTTTTTCAAATTAAAAAGAATAACATAAAATGAAATTTTTTCACATAAATAGTGTGCAAAAGCTGCTTAATTACGAATCAGTCTTCAATTCTTTTTATGTCTCTAAAAAACCAAAAACATATTTATTATTATTTTTTTTTTTTACTTTTCTGGTCTTCTGTAAGTCATGCTCTTCCGCAAAATTAAAAAAATAATAATAAATAAATTATCATTGGAACTAGCATTTTGAAATAATGAGTTTGAGAGAAGTTATTTAATTATATATATAATTAGATAAAAAAGATTTAAGGATAAATTAAAAATTAAAAAAAATTAAATTTTCTCGAATTTTCTTCTCTTTCCCCTCTCTCTAATCTTTTTCTCTCTCCATAATTTTTTTTATTCTTTTTTGTACTGTTTTATCCCAAATTACCCAAA